ACGCTATTTTCTTTTCTTTATCGATTATGAAAATTTTAGGCTTATTGTGTGGGACAGTATGATTTGTAAGTATAGGTTAGTCCCAGAATAGTTTGAAATTATGCTTGGAGTTGATTGATTTAGGATGATATTTGTAATACTTAGAATAGTTATATCCCTCAGTTCCAGCTTCTGAGCAATGGCTTGATGTACTGCTTTAGCTGCGTTGTTATGCCTCAGTTAGTATTCTTTAAACGCTATTATTGTTCATCAGAAGTTATATGCTTAATCGACTCCACTGATTTTTTCAAAGGCGGTAAAAGTCATTTATATTCTCTCCACAAATATGCTTTCTATAAACCCTTGTGGCTATTACCTGCTCTTGGATAGCCAGCAAGAACTCTTCGGTTTCTGGAAAAATATTATCACTTTTTAGCCATGTTAACAATGCCTGAGTGTCTATTTCAGTCCCTGTCAATCATTGGTAGTTTATCTTTCCATTTTTCTGTTCATGTAGCATAGTCTGCATCAATATTCGGGGTCCATGCATTTAGAAGATTTAGAGCTGTGTAATTTGCATCTAGTAATGCAGTAGATAGATAGATAGAAAGTAAACTTTATTCTGGGACAAGATCCCTTATGAATAACAGATATGAACAAAAAAATTAAAACTACATCTGGCCAAAAATTACATTAATCAATATTAAAGAATATATACAATATTTTCAGTGAAATTAAATTAAAACAAGTAAAAATAAAATAAAATTTTGAGAAAAAACGAAATAAAAAAAAACAACATTATTTAAATGAAAATAAAAATAAAATAAAATAAGCATGGGTTGATTTTTAAAATTAAGACTCAATAAATTTTATCAACCATTCACCTCAGTCAAAATCTGTTTCACAATATTTATTTTATTGTATAACGTCATTTTGGGATGTGAGAAGGAATTGGTAAAGATGATATTTAAATGAGGACAAGGAAGAGGCATGACGGATTTCAGATGGCAAGGAATTCCAGAAGGCTATGGATCGGGAAATAAAGAAATATTCAAACGTCTTAGTTCTATGGGAAGGGATATAAAGGTCGGAAACACGGGATCTTGTTTTCTGGGAGTGGACCACGGGTTTAAACTGTAGGAGACTGTAGATGTAAGAAGGGTGTCTGGTGTTGATTGTTTGGAATAGGAAAGATCCGAGGAAATATTGTCTGCGGAAAGAAGGGAAGAGCCACTTTAACTCGTCGTAAAGGTGGGACACATGAGATCGCTTTGATGTACCGAAGACAAATCTTAAGCACGTATTCATGAGTCGCTTCAATCTATCCTCGAGTACCTAACATAACGTTAGAGGCATGACTTCTGATGTGAACTCAAAGGTTATTTTCTTCTTCCCGGCATAACTTCAAGGGGCTGATGAGAACACGACTTCCATTCTTCCTAGGAAGATATAATTCCGCCACTGATAATTTTGGATGCCTTTTCCTTGATAGTAAACCATCTGGAATCTTAGAAAGCGATCTAACCTTTCCAAATCAGTTTTAGTCCATTTAGAACTCCAAATGAGTAAGCTAAAGATGGTACTGCCCAAGTATTTAATGCTCTAATTATATTTCTTCCGTTTAAATGGGATTCGATTACTAATTTGATACTTTTATCAAAATCATCCTCAAAGAATTTCTTAGAATTACTCCTAAATTTCAGAAGTTGATGCATTCCTAGGTATTTGTAAGAATCAGGTTCTTTCATCTGATTAATTACATCTGCTGAAATCTCAATATCATTCCCTTCAACAACCCTACCTCGTTTTACGTATATTACGGTACATTTATCTATTCCCAAGTCCAGGGGTGCCCATCCTGTCCCCACAAGGTTGATGGCGTATGAACCTTCCCCAACCTCTCAGAAGATCTTTTATTGCTATCCTCTTCTTATAAAAAGTGCAAACAAAAGTATAATTTAAAAATTCGTAGAATAAGTATAATTACACATCCTACAGTATTTTCCATGCTTCCGTTTTCTTTTGATTTGAAACTCTTCATTTCGAAAATTAATAACCCCGTCAAAATGTGCCCCCTCAAAAATTCAAAAGCCCGTCAAAATGTGCCCCCCTCAAAAAGTTTGATGCCACAACCTCCTTCTGAACACCCATGCCCAGATCCATTCCTATATCAGTGCTGAACGTCTCTACTATTTTTACATTTCATCTTCATTCCTAGTATAAAGCTTGAGATCATCCGTCTAGAAAGAATGGGAGAGCTTCGTTTCAGAATTGAGGTGGTATCCCTTACCTTTATCCTCCAGTAGTTTGCTGAGTGGATTAAGTGCCAACCAGTACCAAAGGGGGCTAACGGAGCACCTTAAAAAATACCCCTTTTTATAGGTGTATTGGCACTTCATCCATTCCAATTTGGTGTGCAGACTGATATCTTCCAAATTAAGCCATTTAAACACGTTATAGGTCTCCAATATTTCCTTATTTACTTTTCCAATAGTTTCTTATTAAATGAGTCATGCCTGTGCAGAAACATGCACGAAGGTCTACTTCTTTAGATATTAGTCTTTGAAACCAGGAAGATGTCTGTGAATACTGCTGAAATACTTCAGCTAGTAATTTTGATTTTTGTCTGGCCCAGAAACTTTCCAGTTTTGCTTCCTCAACACCGAAGGTAGGAAAGCATTGTGTTTGGGAAAATTTTGTGCTCAGAATCGAAAATTTCCACTCTCGTTTTACGTTTCAGACATCAAGGATCAAATTCGGTTCGGTGTCTGTCTGACAAATCGATGTGACGGGCATATCATCTAGTACCGTTCATCCGATTTTCATGAAATTTTCAGGGAATATGCAGATTGGTGCATATTCTCTGGGGGGAATATGCTCCTAGATGGTCCCATATCAATTTTATCAAATTCCGTCCAGCACTTACGCACGCTCAACCGTATTTTTTTAGATATGCCAATATTTCAGAAAGGGCTCATTCGATTTGGCTCAAAGATAGATAAGAATTAGGTATTGAATTCTGTCCTCTAATTTCTCGTATATATGAGCAAACATGTTTTCCCTGATACGTCTATATTTCTAAAAACGCATGTTCGATTTGGCTCAAATTTGGAGGGAAGTTAGGGATTGATAAACATATAATCAAGTAGGTATGAATTTTATAAAATTCTATCCATTTCTCCTAGAAAAAATACTTTCTCTTTCGGATCAGCAAACGTATCATTTGGCAAGCCTATAGTTTGAAATCTGCGCGTTCAATTTGACCCAAACTTGGAGAAAATTTAGAGAATATTACAGAAATTACCTAATATGAATTTCGTTGAATTTCGTTTAATAATTAAAATTAATATAAATAATTGTTAACAATATAATGACAGTGAAATGTGAAAGGCACTTTAAGTTAATTTATACTGTATTGTTTCTTAGATTCTAAACGTTACTTAGGTTTCGTGTAATTTTCAATAAATTAAAATTAATTTTTACCCTGATATAAAAAAGAAAAATTGTATTTCTAATTGTGTTTATTTCTATCGAAGTTTAACCAGATCGTCGTGGTATCGATGTGGTATATATGTGTGATTTTCACATATATTTTTGTATTCCAGCTTAAATAGTTTTGTTCTGGCTGAAGAAAATTATTGGTCTCGTTAACTCTGGAAAAAAAAGTTTAGTTTTTCTTATTTCTCTTATGAAGTTTTTGTAACATCGATTTTGCGAGTGAAAAACATGCCGATTAAGTACATATTACTACTGTTAGTGGAAGCATTTTGCTACGATGAGAAATAGCAGAGGGCAATAAATTATGAAACTTTACCATTAAACCATAGCGAAACAATTGGTTTTTATGCTTTCCTGTAAAACACTCAATGTTGACATACGACTTTTTGCACTAACAGTAGTGATTATTCATGTTCAGTACGCACTCGATTTTTCGTTTTAATCCCGAGTCCTCAAATATGTAATCTCCATATGAGGAACTTTTTAACATTTCAGTATTCGCTGATGAACAAAACTCTTGGATATCAAACCAGTATATGTTGAGGGATTACTGAATTTCCGAAAAAGGCTTCTCCCAGAGATTTTATTCTCATACGAAAAATTTTAGATCCTGAAATATAGTTATTTTTTAGCTAATGCAAAGGTTATTCTGACCTTCCTTGGCAGACGTTTTTCATATGCATAAGTGGCTACATCTTTCACAGTAACTATGATATAACCTTATGGTTATATCTAAAGGTTGGAGGTTGCATTGGCTACAGCGCATGTTTTCCAACCAATATTATACTATTATAATATTTTTTCCCTTTCCAATATTCTGATATTTCTAAAGGATCTGGGTAAACATTTTTTTTTAGCATTCCCTTTAGGTCTTATAATGTTATAAAAACATTTTTCTCTTTTACCAAATGTATGATTTTGTCTTATTCTATTTTGAGCTTCAGTATACCTCCTGATCCTGTTTGCGTACACTGCTAACTTCTGTTTAAGGATTTCCATCAAGATTTGGGTTTAAATTGCTTGCAACCTCCAATGTTGAAAACTATAATTTTATCAATTCTCTTCCGTAATTTTGAAGAAGCACTCTGAGTGTTTAAAAGATAATTAGTAATGATTCCATTTTTGGCCCACCCTCAATCTTTTTTTTGATTCTCCTTTTCCAGGAAGGATCTTCGCGTTTATTAAGTTTATCACAATGCTCCTTATCTTTCATTTATCTAATGGCATATGTCTTCTAAAGTTATACTATCTCAGCAACTATTTCATTGATGACTCTGGCAGTGGTTAACGTTCTCTATGAGTACCTAAGGTATTGTGTTTACACTTTGTTGTATTGTTTTAAAAATATCTTTATGATAGGTGACAATAAATCAATGAACGTATATTCAAGTATCTTTGAAGAAAAAATCTAAAACAGGCAGGATTCAACGGGTAAAAATAATAAAAACAAAAATGTTTCTTATAATTTTTAAATTATCATGACGGTTTACACACTCAACTTCACTACAAATTAATTCTGCAGTTCACAGATACAATTGTGAGGTTGTGAAGTTAGTCATGGCTGTTGAAGCTGGAGGCTGTTGATCCACCGTCTCAGGCTTACCGAACTGAATCAAGATGACCAAGTACGTTGTTGCAGAGGCGATCATCTGGAACAAAACAAAGAAGAAGGTGACACAATTCGCAGAATTATCCCTCATTTTATTAAGAACTATTTTAAACATAAGCGCCAGTAATTAGAAATATTGGGAGGAAGTAATTTTTTTTTTTATTTATCCATGATATTTACAACTTTATTTTTATTGGAATAAAAATATATCTAGTAAATGTGCACTCAGGAGGATCAGGGATCACCTTGCATCAGGGATAGAGGAGGAAGCAAGGTTTGAAAAGATAGAGTTGGGATGGTTCTGAAGGTTGTTATGGAAGGGTATGTACCTGGATTGGGTTAAATCGGAAACATATGATACGATAAGGTCGTTACGGATGATTTTATTTGTCAAAAAATAAGGAGCATTGAGGATTTTATGGAAGATTTTGGATTGTAATGATTAGATACGAGAGGAATTCGATGGTGAAGTGGAGTCGTAACTCAACTCCCTAAGTTCAATTTGGCCTTATTATAGTCATATATATGCATATTTTGTAATTAATTGATAGCTCAGAGCGTTTGTCTAAGTACTGGAAGAAACGTCGCGCAGTTTCTTGTCGTTTCATTATATGAGGATTCCAAAGGAGTCGTATGTCTAGATGGAGTCCTAGTACACGGTGGGCCAGACCCCCTTACCGTGCACCCCCCCCCCCACATCCCTATAAATTGCATATCGTTGTGTTCCTTGTAACAATTTATTAAAAAAAAGCCAATGTTCCCACAAAAAAAAGTGAACGCACTGCCCCAAAATGGCGTCCAAAGATGGCGGATTGACGACTTTGACTTTAGTTAGTTTTTTGGTCACTGAGAATCAGCATTAAGCTTAATTTCCTCATAGTTGGTCTTTTATTAAAGCTGAATAGTTATAGAATAATAAAACATGAAGAAATATTAAAAAATAATTGTCTTCAGCTATGAAAAACACCAGTAAACTCAATTTTTTTAACAAAAAAATTTTCAAGTTACAAATCAAGCGTCGTTTGTAATTAAACGGCCTACAATAACGCAAAACGTGCTGAAATAAACCATCTGGAGAATATATTTCTCTTTCTGAAACGCTGATTATTTTTTACAAATGTTTAAGTAGTTCCGTAAAAAATGCACTTATGCGGCAGAAAAGCGGTACTGGCGTGGGTGCCTACAGGCCTCTACCACACCATTCAGTGCCCATAAATGGCTTAGTTATAGTGATATAATACCATTTTTGGTACATTATATTGGTTTTATTAACGAACAAATATTAATGCAATAATTTTATAGTAAAAAAAAAAAAAATTTAATTTAAAAAAAAAATTATTATAATTTTTTTAAATTTTAACCTCCTTTATTTTATACGTAGGTCGTTTAAGAATACCTCAATTGTAAAAATGATATAATTATAATAATAAAAGTTAATTAAAAAATATTTTGCTAAATATCTTGATTTTTTTTTATTTAACGTTTGCAATTTAACACTGTGTTTTGAATATTTACTGATTCTTAGAAGTAATTAAAATTTTTATATATTTCCAGGAAATGAGTCATATTCATACCTTTTTTATAAACTAAAATAATATATACCTAATCTGAACTATATATAATGAATAGCTACCGGGTTGTTTAGTAAAACTCATATATCACTAATTAAAAAATTAATTTTTATTTCCTTTATTTTGTGCAGAAGTTGGACTATATCATAAATAAATAGGAAATTTTAATATTGAATGAATTATTCTCTATGCACAAAGAAAGATATAAAGGGTGCCCCTATAAGTTCTTCTATAAACCAAAACTGATGGTTTGGATTTGATCTCAAAATGAGGAAAAACGTGAACTTAAACGAGAAAATTGGAAAAATACATTAAGCGAACGAGAAAGGAAGTGCCAAAACCTCGGAATAGATAAAAAGGACCAGTTATATCCATTATATAGCTCAATGAATGTATAGTAGATAGATGAACAGAATATTTCAAGATGCTGCTAAAACGGGATCAATTGCAGTTTAGATGATATTAAGTGGACGATGTAGGTTTATTATGGTGAAAACCACTTTATTTTCGATTGCGGAAGGTGCACCTTGGGACTATATTAACTTTGAAGATGAATATAGAGAGGTATATCGAGAAAGTTATAGCTCATGGCTTTCCTTCTGTTTAGTGGATTTTCAAAAGATTTTTTAAGGTATCTTATATTAGTTGTAGCTCGCTATTCTTCTCGTTATTCTTGAATTGTTCGGAATTTGTACCATATCATAAAAAAATAGGAAATTTTAATATTGAATGTATTATTCTCTCTGCACAAAGAAAGATGGAAAGGGCGAAACCAAACTGCTTTGACAGTTTTGCGCGTACATAGGCAACAAGCATATTAGAAAATAATATGAAAGGACTGTGGTTTTTACCTTTACAAGAAAGGAGATACTAGGAAATGTAATACCCATCAAGACCCATTCCTGTTTAGTGTATCAAACAAATTATAAACAAGAATCGTAGAAGCTGGAATAAGAAATATTGTCGATTGCCAGAGCGATAAGGATTGAGAAACTCAAGTTGCACATTGGAAGAGAAGTTGAAAATTGGGACTGTCTTCACTTTAAGGCAGGTTATAGAGAAGTCCACATAAAAAGAAAAATAGCTCTCTATCTGCTCAGTTCCTCAAACTTTGGATTATGCTAATATCTAACTGTCTTTCAAAAAAACTCGTTTTCTTTTTAGATCCCTTAAAAAATCTTTTGAAAATCCACTAAACAGAAGGAAAGCTATGAGCTATAACTTTCTCGATATACATCTCTATATTATTCTTCAAAGTTAATATAGTCCCGAGGTGCACCTTCAGCAATCGAAAATAAAGTGGTTTTCACCATAATAAACCTACATCGTCCACTTAATATCATCTAAACTGCAATTGATCCCGTTTTAGCAGCATCTTGAAATATTCTGTTCATCTATCTACTATACATTCATTTAGCTATATAATGGATATAACTGGTCCTTTTTATCTATTCCGAGGTTTTGGCACCTCCTTTCTCGTTCGCTTAATGTATTTTTCCAATTTTCTCGTTTAAGTTCACGTTTTTCCTCATTTTGAGATCAAATCCAAACAATCAGTTTTGGTTTATAGAAGAACTTATAGGGTCACCCTTTATATCTTTCTTTGTGCATAGAGAATAATTCATTCAATATTAAAATTTCCTATTTATTTATGATATAGTCCAACTTCTGCACAAAATAAAGGAAATAAAAATTAATTTTTTAATTAGTGATATATGAGTTTTACTAAACAACCCGGTAGCTATTCATTATATATAGTTCAGATTAGGTATATATTATTTTAGTTTATAAAAAAGGTATGAATATGACTCATTTCCTGGGAAATATATAAAAATTTTAATTACTTCTAAGAATCAGTAAATATTCAAAACACAGTGTTAAATTGCAAACGTTAAATAAAAAAAAAATCAAGATATTTAGCAAAACATTTTTTAATTAACTTTTATTATTATAATTATATCATTTTTACAATTGAGGTATTCTTAAACGACCTACGTATAAAATAAAGGAGGTTAAAATTAAAAAAAATTATAATAATTTTTTTTTTAAATTAATTTTTTTTTTTACTATAAAATTATTGCATTAATATTTGTTCGTTAATAAAACCAATATAATGTACCAAAAATGGTATTATATCACTATAACTAAGCCATTTATGGGCACTGAATGGTGTGGTAGAGGCCTGTAGGCACCCACGCCAGTACCGCTTTTCTGCCGCATAAGTGAATTTTTTACGGAACTACTTAAACATTTGTAAAAAATAATCAGCGTTTCAGAAAGAGAAATATATTCTCCAGATGGTTTATTTCAGCACGTTTTGCGTTATTGTAGGCCGTTTAATTACAAACGACGCTTGATTTGTAACTTGAAATTTTTTTGTTAAAAAAATTGAGTTTACTGGTGTTTTTCATAGCCGTAGACAATTATTTTTTAATATTTCTTCATGTTTTATTATTCTATAACTATTCAGCTTTAATAAAAGACCAACTATGAGGAAATTAGCTTAATGCTGATTCTCAGTGACCAAAAAACTAACTAAAGTCAAAGTCGTCAATCCGCCATCTTTGGACGCCATTTTGGGGCAGTGCGTTCACTTTTTTTTGTGGGAACATTGGCTTTTTTTTAATAAATTGTTACAAGGAACACAACGATATGCAATTTATAGGGATGTGGGGGGGGTGCACGGTAAGGGGGTCTGGCCCACAGACTAGGTATCGGGTCAGTTCAACTAGTATAAGTGTGGAATTATTAAAGGATACTGTAGTATAGGAGGGCATAGGTTTGCGGCGAAGGATTTGGTGATGGGATTTATTGGAATTTATTTTAATTCTCCAGTTTTTTACACCATTCTTCAAGATTTGTGATATGTAATTGAAGGTTTTGGGATGCAGTTGATAGATCGTTATTGACTGATAGGATACATGTGTCATCGGCATATGTGGTGATGACAGTGCTGGGATGGATTGGGATTTCATTTGTATAAACTGCGTATAGGATAGGACCCAGGATAATACCTTGAGGAACACCAGTAGACTGGGAAAAATTGATGAATAAGAATTGTTGTGATTTACTTCAAAGTATCTGTCAGTAAGGTAGAGATGGATAATGATGAAATATGTAGCTGGTAGGAATTTATGGAGTTTGCACATCAGACCCGGATACCAGACTCTATCAAACTCCTGTTCAACGTCGAAAAGGGATGAATTTTAGAAAATTACCTAAATACTTTTATATCTGTAACAGTACGCATGGCATGGTTCTTCGAATTTTAAAGTGAATTTTGTTGAAGTAAAAGGCTGTGAAATATTAATGAACTAAACAAACTTAGAGAACAGAGAACTAGAGAAAATTTAATATTGTCAATTAATTAAAGAATAAATGTTTCGCTGTGATGCATCGTTTAGGAGTTCTAGTTGAAAAAACAAAAACATATCGAAAAAATTGGTTCTAAAAAATTTTCGCTTGGTAGCCGCCATAGCAATTTTGATTTTTATATGCCTAAACCCATATATACAAGATAAAAGAATAAAAACTTTTCTCATATGTTTCGCAATGGATTTCCCGTTTCGATCCACAAATTACTGATCTAATATTCTTTAAATCAGTCGCCATTTTCTAAAGCAGCGGTTCTGAAACGACAGACAAGATTCTTTTTACTCAGAATAACATATAATTGCGTAATTTATGATCAAAGCTCCGCATGCGATGAGGTCTATTTTTGGGCTCTGGCTCCAGGGCTATGATATATGATATGTGATGGAACGCTATGGAGCTGCCAAAAAGCAATTTGCTCATTGTAAAGAAATTACAAATTTAATTTTAAGTTTAAAATTTAAAATTTAATTACAAATCGCTGATTGGGCCACAAGGTGGAAAATTAAAATGAACGGAAAAAAAATGTGTACGTAGTTTTCACTCTTAATCATACCCCTTCCCCCAAAATTTATTTTAATGACATTGAAATTCCTGCATCCGAGGAAATTAAATATTTTGGTTTTTACCTCGACAAAAGACTAACTTGGAGGACACACATTAGACAAAAACGAATGGAATTAAACAAACGATACGGTCTTTTATCTTACGGTTACTTGACAGACGCTCAAAATTATCTTTGACTAACAAACTAACACTCTATAAAGTTTCACTAAAACCAATTTGGACTTATGGCATAGAACTTTGGGGTTCTGCTAAAACTTCTAATATTAAAAAAATCCAGTCTTTCCAATCCAAAACTTTACGAAGAATAGTTGACGCACCATTTTATGTGACAAACGACAGATTACATAAAGACTTGAACATCCCAACAATTTCAGACACTGCAAAAATAAACTACAACAACTTTTACCAAAGACTAACTTACAACACAAATCCTCTGACAGAAAACCTTAAAAGCACCAGAAACCCGTATAGCCCACCTTGGCAATTACGCAGGCGGTGGCTAAGAGACCTGCTGAACTGAACTATTTCCTGGATTTTAATGGAACGCTGTGAAGCTGCCATTGCAAAGAAATTTGTAGATCGCAAATTTAATTTTTTATGTTAACTAATAAAATAAATAAATTTCAAGTTCAATATTTATATTTAATAATAAAGAAAATAAATAAATAATGTAAATACCTTTCGTGAAATCATAAAATTTTATTTATTTTTACTTTGTAATTTTTACTGAACACATCAACCAACTTCGTTTCAACAAATAAATATTTCTTTTTATGTACACTATTCATACATTTTTTTTCTCATTTATCATATAACTTAGTTGTAATAATTGGTATATCTATTCTTCTTATTTTTATTATCCTCCTATCTGATTAAAACCTACAACTTAGATATAAACAATGTGATTTATAACATATTCTATGATACAAACATCCTGTAAATATATAGATATATTTTTAATAACAACACCTACCGAATGTACCAAAGTATAGTCCAAGTTGAAGAAGCCGCATGCAGTAAAGACCACCTCTCTCTTCATCGAAATGTGTAACCTCAGCTTGTTCTAGAAAATTAATTAATGTACCACAACTTTAATGTTGATGTTCATAAAATTTGGAAATATTTAAAGAGGTGATCTGCCACTTGAACCCAGCTTGAAAGATAGGAACACAGCAATATTATTCATAAAACAAAGTGACCCACGCCCCCTCTATCTATATATGGTGTTTCAGGGTTAAGTGGGCAAACTGCAAAAATGAGCTATGGAACTCAAAACAAGAAAAAAAATTCCGCTGAAGGCATGTCCGCAAACGCTTTGTTTAGGAGATATTCACACCTAAAGATTTTCCTTTTTATGAATTATTTGAAATAAATAAAACCTATTTATTTGTTCTAACTACTTTATTAATTAAATATAAACATTAACATTCATGGGTGATAAATATTCAGGACGCAGTCGTTATAAGGTTTTTATTAGTGCCAACGTTTCAACCCAAACATGTGGGTCATCATCAGGGCGAGTACTTTAATATCGAACCACACCCTGATGATGACCCACATGTTTGGGTTGAAACGTTGGCACTAATAAAAACCTTATAAGGATTACGTCCTGAATATTCATCACCCATGATATGTAGAACAGTTGACTAACTTCTTTCAATAATTCATTAAGATTTATATTATGTTATTCAAAGCGATTTCCTTGAGCATTAAGACAGGCTTGGCATCTTTCTTCAACAGCAGCAGTGGCAGAACGGCACTGGATATGTGTTATTGTTCCACAAGTTTCAATTATCCTTCTTCGTAAGGAATTAAGGTCATTGACCGGACTTGCTGAATCATATCCCAATCAATGGATTGGTCGTGCAGGACTAGTGGCTCTCAAGACTTGACACCACTGGATTTTTTTGTTTGAGGCGGCATTAAACAAAAAGTTTATGCAAGTCCGGTCAACGACCTTAATTCCTTACGAATTATAAGGATAATTAAATCTTGTGAAACAATAACACATATCCAGTGCCGTTCTGCCACTGCTGGTGTTGAAGAAAGATGCCGAGCCTGTCTTACTGCTCCAGAAAATCACTTTGAACAACATAATATAAATCTTAATGAATTATTGAAAGAAGTTAGTCGACTATTTTACATATCATGGGTGATAAATATTCATTGTACAGTCATTATAAGGTTTTTATTAGTGCCGACGTTTCAACCCAATCATGTGGCTCATCATCAGGGCGTGGTTCGAAAACTGCAAATATTTAAGTACTTGCCCTAATGATGACCCACATGTTTGGGTTGAAACGTTGGCACTAATAAAAAACCTTATAATGACTGCGTCCTAAATATTTATCACCCATGAATGTCAATGTTTACATTTAATTAATAAAATAGTTAGAACAAATAAATAGGTTTTGCTTATTTCATATAACGTAAATAATTCATAACAACGAAAATCTTCAGGTGTGAATATTTCCTAAACAAAGCGTTTGCGGACATACCTTCAGAGGAAATTGTTTTCTTGTTTTGAGGACCGTAGTAGCAGTTTGGCCACATAACCCTGAAACACCCTGTAAATAGACTATTAACATTAAAAAGAAAATAATAATATAACAGTAACAGAGAGGAACTTATAAGTAAATAATAACGGCAACAAAGTTAGGGACTAATAAATTATCATAATTTCATTAATATTTTCTTTTTAATGTTAATAGTTCATACATAATATCTATTGTTATCTGGTATTTCCTTTGCCCTGATGAAGGCCTGAACTTTGGGCCGAAACGTTGGCAAAAATAAAAATGAATATTATTTATTTATTTTAAATTTTTATTTTTATGACTGAACACTCCAACCAACTTCTCTTGATTATAATTATAGATATATGGAAAAATTAAGGAAGGAAATATAAGTAAACTATTCTGAGAGGATCGCACACTTTACAGTCAAAAACAAAAATCACATAAATTGTTCTGAAACAAATTATAATTTGTCAGAATGATTTTGGAAAATTCTATTAAAAGTAATACTCACATTATTTAGTATTTCGTTAGTCTTGTCGTCAATCATGAGCTGGTATAGAAGTGTGTTGAATTCCTTTGACTGAAACATATTGAACCATCGTGTAAACGAATATGAGAATATCATTAAAGTCCGTGGTACAGACATAAATTCATCAGGTAGTTAACATCCGTCCCAAAGTTCGTGAATGACTTCATTTTATCATAATCTATAACTTTTTATTTACGTAAATTCTCGAAAATCATACTGGTTGGTTTAATTTTAACCTTTGTCTATTTAATTGTGTACTAAAAACTCAAGAACAACCTTTTCTTTCCACTTGAGTCGTAAGATAATCTGATCAAATGGCGTAACATCCATTCCCAACATTTAAACATAACGAGGTTATAAAGGCCAAAATTTATGTAGACATTTAAGTTTTCCTTGAAGATAATGAACCATTGACTAGAACGGTAGACATTAGTCGGGAAGTGTTTTGAAAACTATGTTGCACGGTGGGCCTGAATCCTAACCGTGCACCTTCCCTCCATATCCCAATAAATTGCATAAAGTTGTATTCCTTCCAAGTATTTATTAAAAAATTTAATGTTCTGACAGAAAAAAACTGGCCTCACTGTCCCAAAATGGAGATTACAAACATAGCAGATTAACGTCTTTGATTTGAGTTAGTTTTTCGGTCACTGAGATTAAGCATTTGTCTTAATTTCAACATAATTGGCCTTTTATTAAAGCTGGATAGTTAATCAATATTAAAACATTTAAAAAAATAATAATAATATAAGGCTTAGCGAACCCAAAGGTTCGATGCCGACACCACCAATCGCTTGTTACACACCTCCCTCTCCCGTTTGTCGTCCAAACCCAGTCCCTTCAGATCGGCTTTAATGCAATCTTCCCACCTTCGCTTTGGTCTACCCCTTGGACGCATATCATTCGGCACAGCAAATATTAACCTTATTAAACCTTATTATAAAAACATTAAAAAAACATCAACCAAAATTGTCTTGGGCGATAAAAAAAACACCAGTAAAATCAGGTTTTTAAAGACGTTCAAACTAAAGTTGAAAAACAAGCATCTTTTGTAAATAAATAGCCAACAATAAGGAAAAACGCTCTAAATAAAACATCTGGAGAATACATTTATATTTCTAAAACACTGATTACTTTTTTAAATGTTTGAAACAGTTACTTAGAAAATACTCTTGTATGCTACACCATAAAGTACTCATATATGGTATAGTTATAGTTCTATTAAGATTGAATTAATATTTTATTTTATTGACGAACAAATGTTATTACAATGATTAATTAATTGTCAATTATTTTGTAAACTTTTCTCATTTTGAAAGCTCGATAGTTCGCTTCCTGTTGGGTTTAGAAAAAAATATTATGTACAAAAATGTTAAATAATTTTAAGCTGTTTCAGATTGAATATAACCATTTTTTATCTATGTCGATTTAAAAAGGAGATATTTAGCATAAACCTAAAAAAGTTAGAAATTTCAATGGTTTTTGAAGCACTGCAGCGAACCCACTAGGCTTTCAAGGGCGGAAACTTGGATTTTTTACAGCCACAGAATACCTGACAATATAAAAAGGAAATTTGATTTACTTGACCTTTTGCAAGCTAGATCCCTTTTTCGTGCTAATTTGACAGGGCCACTATTCCATGAAAACTCAATTTATTTCCACCCACATTTTTTTAAATTCGTTGCTGTTGAGAGTCGGAGAAGGAACTATACTGCCGTATTAAATATAAATATATAATTTTAATACACTGACAGGCAAAAAATTCCACATACTTGTTACCCATTAAGGAACCACGTTGGAAAGGTTGGCTCTGGGAAAAATTACAGGCTGCATATCTTTCGTTTCTTCTTCTCCGCACCCTTTCACGCCCGTCTGGAGATCGAAGAGCGAATCTTGACTCATCTGTAAAAAGTACAGCACTCCATTCGTCCATAGTCCAATGCCTATGTTCTCTAACAAAAGCCAGCCGTGTTACTCTGTGAGTTCTGGTCAACTCTGGTCCTCTTACTGAACGAAAAACCATTAATCCATACTCATTTAATCTTCTCCGAGCGGTACGTTCAGAAATTTGCACACCTCGAACTTCTTCGAGCTGATGAATCGTTTGGATAACGGTAAGGTGCCGGTTTCGTAAAATTCTCAAAGTCAAAAACCGCTCATCCCGTGGTTCTGTTACCCTAGGCCGTTCAGAACCGGGCCTTTTATTGTAAGAACCAGTTTCCCGAAAACGCCTGTCGGCGTTATGTAAAGTTTCATATGGAACTCCGATGGCATTAGCTGCATATCTAATGGAACGTCCATCATCAATAAGTGCCACACCAAGCGCAATATCCTCAGCACTAAGAGGAATTTTTAAACTTAATATTGAAAAAATTAAAAGCCGGAGACTAAGAAATATGCTGCAAGAAACGGCACTGAGCTAATGATACTGAATAAACATTTTGATTCCATAGAAAGTAAACATTGGAATCTAGAATCATTTCATTGAATTAAGGATTAAGGGTTATTGTCCTCTATATTAACATTCCTAATTGAAAACAATTATTATTGAGTTTCTAAAATACATCGGTTGGTTAAAAAGATCTGGGTGAACGAGAAATTACCTGAAGAATGGAAAGAATCTATTCTTATTCCGATTCACAAAAAGGGTCCGAGGACGGATTGTAACAACTATCGAGGAATTTCACTCCTTCCGGTATGTTATAAAATATTCACTTTAATCTTAACCAGTCGAATCACGGAATACGCCGAGGAAATTATCGGAGACTACCAATGCGGATTTAGACGGAATCGTTCGACTATTGATCAAATATTTTCTTTACGGCAAATATTAGAGAAAAAATTGGAGTACAACGGTATTGTTCACCAGCTGTATATAGATTTTAAAAAGGCTTACGATTCTATTGACCGCCAGAAACTGTATAATATTCTAATCGAGCAGGGGATTCCAAAAAAACTAGTAAATCTAGTCAGGATGTGCTTGACGGAGTTAGAATCGGTAATAATTTGTCCGAAAAATTTGAGGTTCGTTCGGGCTTAAAACAGGGGGATTCTCTTTCGCCTGTCCTGTTCAATTTGGCATTAGAACATGCCATTAGGGAGGTAATGCGAACCGAGAAAGGGTTGGATCTGGGCGTGACAACATCCGTGCTGGGCTATGCTGATGATCTGGTACTGTTAAGCGAAGACGTTGAAACTATAAAACTAAATGCGACAGCGTTAATGGAAGCCGGTAAAGAACTAGGACTCGAAATAAACGTGGATAAAACAAAATATATGGTTAGCTGCAAAAATGGCGATACTACTGGTGATATCGATATAGATGGTAATATGTTTGAACAGGTAGATAAATTTAGGTATCTAGGTTCTACGATAACTAGAAAAAACGAAATTGAAGAAGAGATTAAGGTTAGACTGAAGGCGGGGAATGCTTGTTATTTTTCTGTGACAAAACTACTTAGTTCGCGCCTCTTGTCCCGAAACTTAAAAATTAGAATCTATAAAACAATTATCTTGCCTACAGTTCTTTATGGATGCGAAACTTGGCCGCTTACACTAAGGGATGAGCAGCGTCTTAAGGTTTTTGAAAATAAAGTATTGCGTAGAATATTCGGACCGAAGAAGGATGAGTTAACCGGAGAGTTCAGACGGTTACACAACGCCGAATTGCGTGAGCTGTATCCGGGTAATATAATTGAGGTGATTTCATCGCGGCGAATCAAATGGGCTTGTAAAGTTGTTGGACTTAGTAACGAGAGAATTCCTAAAAGGTTAATATTTGCTGTGCCGAATGGTAAGCGTCCGAGGGGTAGACCGAAGCGAAGGTGGGAAGATTGCATTAAAGCCGATCTGAAGGGACTGGGTTTGGACGGTGAACGGTGGAGGGAGGTGTGTAACAAGCGCTTGGTGATGTCGGCATCGAGCCTTCGGGTTCGCTAAGCCTTATTATTATTATTATTAATTGAAAACAAACAAAAAGATTACCTATTTATTCATTAAAAACAATAGACCAATCCAAAGCAGAGATATTTTGAGACGAAAACATGAAAAAATCAAGCGGGTGGAAATTTTCCCTCTCAGTGTATATATATTTATGTATTTAATAAAAAGACCATTTAATGTATAATAAATAAATTATACATGGACAGACCCACCTTTCCTGATGTTTCCGCAGATGACTGATTAACCCTCCATGAAACATAGCAGTAGAACAAAACGCTGTAGACCTGAGGGAGAAGAAGGTCGAACTTGAAGCCGTCCGGGAGGCTAGCCAGCATGGAAATGTAGTAGAGGTGGATCGAAAACCCGCAGAAGCACAACGACATCATCACTAGAATCTGGTCCGAGTAGACTTCGTTCAGGGAACACGAGGCAGATCCCAGTTTGTTCGTGGCTTTGACCAGTTCGGAGATTCTTTTGCTGTGTCGTTTGATGATTAAAGAGAGTTTCATCTCGTTTAAAAAGTCAATGCCGGCATCGAAAATGTCACCAATGAGATCAACAAGGAAGCTCAACTGTCCACAAATCAATGCCATCCCCATCAGAGTCAGGCCGTTGAAAGTTCCGTATGCAGTACCAGGAATATTGCTATTAGTGACGTAGGTAAGGAGGGTGCACAATAAAGGTACCGAAATATCAAACAATGGTAAAAGGTGAGTCAATTTGTTGAACTTGGACAACCTAATCTTTTCGAACGTGGATTGTATTTCCTTCAATGCTCGAAACGTCTGTTGCAGAACATCTCTCTTCAGGAAGGCACAAGTCAAGCTACACGGAAAGACAAGGATGAGACCACCTATATAGGCGAGTATGATTGCTTGGTTGTAGGATTCAGTAAGCAGTGGAGTAAGGTCATCAAGCATGGACAGACCACCGATCAGTGTTACTGCTGCGGCGAAGACGAAAGAGTAAACGAATAACAACTTATCTAACCCAAAAGTAGGTCCTTTCTCGAAGGGGAATAAGCCAAGAAACGCCGAGACTGTGAAGATAGGGTTGTGTTCGAAAGACTTTGGAGGAACAGTCGGCATTTCCAAAGCCGGGAGAGGACTGGATCGAATCCATTAGATGGTCATTACGGCTTGGAAGCGAAAGGATACTCCTGCTATCTGACAGTTGTATCTGTTACTGTCATGGCACTCATTTATTGAATGATAACTGATCTATTTAATACCGTTATTGAATTTGTAATTTTAGTTTGCAGCTTTGGTTGCAATCATATTCATGTTACACATGGTCGACAAATAATATTGAGGAATATATCGAAATAGTAACGCAATAAGCACTTAAATTGATATAGAAAATTATGAGATTTTCATATGTTTATAATTAATTTTCAATTAGTTGGCCTGAGGGAATAACTCGCAGAGAATATTCATCAGTAAACAAATGACAAAATAATAAGAAAATGAAGTACTTCGATTTATCATAAGATCTAAACCATTGGAACGCCAAATTTCAAACTTTTTCATTCCCCGCTACTCTGCTGGCATAAATGTTCTACACAATTCTACGTATCTGTTGTGATGTCTAGGATATTTATAAGCCATCTGATCACTGTGCTTAACACTAAAGTATCCATGTTAAGCTCTTTATACAAGGCCACTATCAATCTGTTATGTTTTAGTGCATATTCTTCTCATATGTAGCAAAACATTTCAGGATGATTCACACAACTTCTTTTTGAACGCATTTTTTATCAACTTCGATCCATCCTGCACGGCTGAATCTCTCTGTCCTCAGATCTAGTTGAAGCGTTAGAGGAAGGAGGGGAATCCCATTGACGAAGTGGGGATTCTGAGACTGGTCAAGGAAAAAGAAAGTGGCTAGATTCAAGGAAGCAATTTTACTTCTCTTTTCACATTTAAAACAAAAACTGATTTTCTAATTATATTAGCAACCCAAATATAGCTAAAATCATTTCCTAAATCATAGATACCAAAAAATTGTATTTATCTTGTAGGTCTGAATTATATTTCAGACTTAGAGACCTTTTATAACGGGTTTATACGTTCAAATAGTTTGCTTTTTTTTTTGTGGAGAGTGAATTAGATTGAGCCGTCAGATTTCCGATCTGTAACACTCGGGTTAAGTCGGCTGGAATCGACTAATTAAAGTGTTTTTAAAACATCTCAGAAACTAAAAATTGGACGTGCATACTGTAAGCGAGAGAACTGTTGAGCATTTCATCCTCTTTATAGTTTATATTTCGTATTATTAATCTTGCCTCGATGATGTTTTCACTTCTATCACGTGGTCTTAAGCACATACGTTAGTTTTTTCAATAGTAGGAAATAAATAAATCTATGAAATAATTCAATAATTAACTATAAAGAAAATTGGAGAAACATTTTCGCTGGTTGAAATAAATTTCCAGAAATTAGAGTAGTAAAAAAGATGTATGATACATTATGGAAATTTAAAAAACCTCTGCCAAGAAAGGTCATTATAGTTTCCTCACCGTTCGCATTATCTAAAAAATATAAATATTACAAGATCTAAAGTTTTTCGTATGAGAATATAATCTCTGAGAGGAGGCTTTTTCGTAAATTTAGTAATCCCTCAACATGTCCGGAGTTGATATCCACGAGTTTTCTTCACAAGCGAATACTAAAATGCTAAAAAGTTCCGTATAGGCAGATTGCATATTCAATGACCTGGGATTAAAAAAAAAAATGAGTGCGTATTGAAAATGAATACCACTAGAGTCAGTGCAAAAAGTCGTATGTAAACATTTAGGAATAACATTCAACAGGAAAGCATAGAAACTAATTGTTTCGTTACGATTTATTAGTATAATTTCATAATTTATTGTCCTCTGCTATTTTTCATCGTAGCAGAATAATTACGACCTTTTGCACTAACAATAACAATATATACTTAACCGGCATGTTTTCACTCGTAAAATCGACGTTACAAAGACTCCATAAGAGAAATAAGAAAACTAAACTTTTTGTTTAATAACCAATAATTTTCTTCAGTCAAAATCAAACTATTTAAGCTGAAATGTAAAAATCACACATAAACTCGATACCACGATGAGCTTGTTGAACTTTAATAGAAATAAACACAATCACAAATAAGATTTTCTTTTTTACAAAACCAGAGTAAAAATTAATTTAAATTTATTGAAAATGAGACGAAATCTACGTAATGTTTGGAATCGACGAAAAAATACAGTATAAATTAACTCTTTGAATAAAACCTTAAATTTTATAATCCCATAAAAATATTATCGTAGCCATTACCCACTCCATATGATCAGTGCCTTTCACATTTCACCGCCATTATATTGTCAACAATAATTTATATTCATTTTAATTATTAAATCGAATTCAATGAAATTCATATTAGGGAATTTCCACACACTATTCTCCGAATTTCCTCCATGTTTGGGTCAAATTGAACTCGCCCATATAGACTTACCAAATAATACGTTTACTGATCCGAAAGCGAAAGTATTTTTTCTAGGACAAGTGGATAGAATTTGATAAAATTCATACCTACTTATTATTTGTTTACCAATCCATAACATCCCTCCAAATTTGAGCCAAATCGAATTAAATTGACATTACGTTATTTTTTTTTTTACCATTACCTACCTTTTATCTAACTTTGAGCCATATTAAACGAGCTCTTTCTTAAATATTGGCATATCTAAAAAAATACGTTTGCGCGTGCGTAAGCGGAAGTACTGGATGGAATTTATTAAAATTAATATGGGACCATCTTAGCACCAATCTGCAAAATCCATGAAAATTTGACGAAAATCAGATGAACGTTATTAGATGATATGTCCGTCACATCGGTTTGACGGCAGACAGACATACAGGCACCGAACCAAATTTGTTTGATCCTTGATGTCTTGCAACGTAAAACGCGAGTGGAAATTTTCGATTTTAAGCACAATTTTTTTTTAACCTCTCGCACGGACACAATGCTTCCCTACCTTCGGAAGTGAAGAAGCAAAATTATTTTTAGTTTAATATTACTTTTGAATTCTCGTAAAAGAATTATTGATTTCTGATATAACCCTTGAATCCTATCCAGAATTACAATTCTAATCTGGATTTCCTAGTCAATAAAATTATAACACTCAGAAAATGCACTTGTGTATTCTTGGATAATGATTTTACCACGAACTTCGAAAAAGTAAAAATGATAATTTTCACACATTTTGAAAAAGTTTATAAAAAATGCAACTAACCTTTTTCGTAACCATCTCTGAACCATAGGCTAATTTCCAGATGTAGTAGAAATGATAGCAAATAACGAAACAGTCATCATAGATATCATACAGAATTAAGCCTCTTTCAATACTTTTTGTGACGAAGTATAAGTGAAATGTGATTAATATAAAGCGAGTAGAAATGAGGTACAATAGTTGGAGGGAATAAATCGCATTAATGTTATTGGCCACCACTGCGATTTGATTTGATACCTTGATGAGTTTCACCATCATTTTTATGTTAAAGTTGCGGTACGAAGTTCGTTTCAGTATCCTCAGAACAGTGATGTTAGCTTCGTACAAATTGTATGTCAAGCCTGAAAGAAAACAAAACTGCGAAATACACAACGAAGACCCTGTTAATGAAAATACGACAAAGAATGAAAGAACAATATTGTTGAACGTTATATTTGGTATCACGTATAAAATCGCCGATACTAATATGAATGACAAGTCGAGCCATACAAAACGTTTGGCAGTCTGGCTATTCCAATTTTGTGGCTTCAAGTTCTTGAAGAAATGCTCTAAATATTGTAGAGAAGTGACAGTTTCCTGCAGTAGTTTCCGATTAATTAGGATAAAACAGAGACAGTAAGGAAATTGGATCATGTGAAGATACCTGATTGTATAGATCAAAATTACTGGTAGTTGTTCATTAGAAGCAGATATGTTGGGATATCCTTGCAAAATGGTGTAAAAACATATTAATGTAAGTGTTGTGGCGAAAACAGAAGAATAACACAGCAATAATTTGTCCAAACGCAAGAAACCATTTTTAACTCTGAACGGAAATGATCCGGTAATGGTGGAAGCTAGAAATATTGGGTTGTATTTCAAAGAGGTAGCACTTTCTGGATACATATTTGAAGGAATGAGTTTGAAATCTTCAATATCGTTCCAAGAGGTCTTCAATACAATCTACTCTTATCTAATCAGATGCATCGCAATTCAACAATGCCAAAACCAATTCCATCTAAAAGATCAATACGGAATTTATTTGTATTTCTGAAGATTCGCCGCCAAAACGGCCATAGGTTTAAAATTGACTTGTTAAGTACTTATTATTGGGAGTAGTAACAATTTAGCTAGATGAAAACTAAAAATACTAATTGGTAGGTTTTTACTATTTTTACTATTTCACACTAATAAAGAACTGTATGAAAAGTATGCGAGGCCGGATTTGGTCTCAATTGTGATGGGAAACCAAATCAGATGGTTGGGCCATGTGGCGTGTATGCCCCGAGACGCGATTCCCAAACGCTTGCTAGAGGATTGGCCTGCCCCAGGTTCTTACAGGACCGTAGCCATTCTTACATAGACCGTAGCCAAGAATAAATAAATAAATAAAAATAAAGTTTTTACTATATATTAAAAATCTCGACTCCCATTAATCCAAACACCAAAATAACAGCATTTATAAGACTTCCAATCAAAATCTTCTACAGTTGAGATCCCGAAATTTTTATATTTAATTCTTTAGACTGATAAATTCACTAATTTTAGAAGTCTTGAAATTTAACTACAAAAAAATTGCATTATATAGGCAAGAAGAAATGTTTCCTAAATATCGTAGACCGCAATAATCTACTAGCAGATTCAATCTGAATTAATAATTTAATGCGTTAACATCAACAGATTACATAACGTTAAAAATTTTACCACATAACATTTGGTTTAAAAGAAAAAATAACGTTGTCAGTTCATGATAGGCCGAGGAAATCTTTGGATGGGCTGAGTCACGAAAACTCCAGTTGAGATGGAGATAATGTGTGCAAGCCAGGAAATATTATCTAAAGAATATAT